AGTTGGCCTGCTGACCACCTGCCAGATGTGTCCACAGGACAAAGTCACCAGATCAAGACAAAGAGGAACTGTATGAACAGGCAAAGGAGGAGGTTTCCAGGGGTGGCAGACTAGGAGGGTCTAGCAGAGCAGATGTGGCCCTTTTGACAACTTTATGCTGGAGGCCTGGAAAGGCTAGCAGGTTGGCATATTGCTGCTTTTGAGGGAAAGGTTTAGGTCAGTGATACTGCTGCTGCTTCTGGGAGACAGAGAGGGGAGACCTGTTTCTCTCAGCATAGCTTCTCCATCCCTTCCAACCCTCTGCAAAGGCATCCAACTCAGTTCTCCAGGACTGCTTCCTCAGACCATTGATCCTCTCTTCCTCCTGATTCTCAGCCAACTATTATTGTGGCAGAAACGGCTTGGCCGTGATTACTTTCCAGCCCCTCAACCTTTAGACAACAGATGGCTCTGGAGCTACTGATGTGTGAAGCATTTTCACATGCCTTAACAACGGCCTTAATTATGCAGCATTGTCATTAGGACTGGACAGGTGATTTAGATCTGAATATCTGAACCACTTCATCACCCAAAAGCCTAAACTGACACTTGGAACCTGGAAGCTCCAGGAACATGTATGATTGCTGAGATAATGTCAAGTCCTAGTTGTCAGAAACCTTACATTTTTAAAAAGCTTATATCCATGGCTGAGAAATTCCCAACAATAACTTTCAGGTGTGAATATCCCTGAAGTCTGGCTAAATAGGATGGACAATTAAAAGAGGTGCAGTTGGGACAGTCTGTATTTGTCCATTAGCATTTGAAGAACTATAAATGATAACTGACATATCTGTGGATATTTATGTGTTTGCAGGCACAGTTATAGGTGCAATGGTGAAACAGGGAAAGCATTAACAGTGTGAAAGTGAGAAAATAAAACACAAGCTGCTGGGAAGACAGGATAAAAGGAATGGTAAAAAAAAAAAACAAACCAAAAACAAAAACATGGTAAAAGAAAAGAATACAACAAAGCACAAAATTACCACAGGATGAGCATGCTCAAGAAACGTCATCCCCAGCCAAGTACTTACAAGTAATAGGAGTAGGAATATGCATTTCTTCTAAATATTGACGGCCAGTCAGATGAACAAAACATCCAAAAGAAGAAAAAAAGAAAAACACATAATTATATTTATATGCACTCAGGATATTTTCCCATATAAAATGTATTTGAGCTACCATTCTCCTACACTTGCTTCAGGAGCTATATGTCGGTGAGGAATGGATACTGAACTGGAGACGTGTTTCCACTTCTGCCACTGACTTGTGTCACCATGAATAAATCCCCTCACCTCTTTCTTCCTTAACTTTGCCATGTCAGTAACACGGGTAATGAGACTTACCTTTGCCTGTAAAGTGCTTTGAGATTTTTGGAATGGAAAGAAGTATGTAAGAGCTATTAATATAAATAATAATAAATAGGAAAGCAACAATGTAAGAACACTGCAATTTTGGAATATTTAAACAATGAAAAAATTGTGTAGTGATAAATCAGGCTTCATCAAACTCCAAAATGCAAATAGTTCATTAACAATTCAAGCATCACTGCATATTTATAGATGATCACTGGGGGTATGCATTAGGTTTCTGTGTCACTGTGATTAAGCATTTTCTATTACAGTTTTTCAACAATACACTTCAGAATATTTTGATGTGGTTTTGAGCGGCGCCACAAAATGAACCTTGGCAATCAGTTATAACTTAGAGGTGATTTCTTCCCTTTTGTAACTGGAAAAGGGTTTCTCTGAAAAGGCTGTTTCACAACAGATCTAGCACATGTTATTGCAGATTAACGGCAAGGCACAAGGGAGGCTTGAAAGCAGCAGCCATGGTCAAGCCAGGGAAAAACAATGAAACACAAACCTCAGCCTATTGCACAACTCATCCTTGAGGACACTACAAATACTAGGAAGTGCTTACAAGTATAAATGCAGGGTTCAAGTGTTCGCTTTTATGGTTGTTCTGAACACAACTTTCATAAGCACCCATGGAAACCAGATTCCGTGTAGTTTCTCTCTGTGCACAATCTCCCCCTTTGCTATGCACACACTGGGTAAAGGACAGTGGCTTACAGATGTTCAAGAGGATTACTCTGAAATGACATTTTTTTTCTGGTGGTGGCCCCTGCTATAAACATGAAATTCCGGCCAGATTCCTGATACATGCCAAGTTATTCAGATGACACTGATTCCAAGGTACACCTGAATGTATTTATAACATAATGCTATCATCTCCTGAAACCCAGAAATTCTACATGCGATAGAAATGCACCAGTTAATGTGCAGTGATTGCCACTGAGCTTCTCTGTGAAATTTCAAGCTCCTCTGAACCTCTAAACAAAGAGAAAGATCACCAGGATATGGAAAATGAGAGCCCACACAGCTGAACCCCCTACGTCCCCCAAATGATTCCATTAATTAAAGCCCTCTGATATGCCAGTGCCACGTTTCACACAGCACTATCAACTGTAATTGTTCTGTTGAACATCTTGCTGTACTTTCTGCTTTTCTCATGTCTCAGCCAGCGGACATATGTGATCACATGAGACTCTTTTAGTTCTCATTAAAAAGCTGCATATCCCTCAAGGCTACAGAAGGAAGCTCAGAAAGATTTGTTCTGTAAGGACAGAAAACAAATGAAGACAAACAAAAGAAGGATTATATTTTGGAACTGGACAGGCCATCTTGGCTCAAATTCTCCCAAAACATGCAACCTAAAATAAGGACTTGCTAAGGAATATTTCAAAACTAACTGTTTAAAATGGGTCAGTTACGGGTCACTAAAAGCATGACCCAACCCTAGAACATATCACACAGCCTGAAAATGCTGCTGGTCATCCACCTTAAATATGGACATAGAAGGGACATGGGCCACTGAATGTGCAAATAACCCTATGGTAATTCTGTCCTATAGCTTGGGTGTGTTCTGCTCAAGAGGCATTTGGGTTTTATTTAATTAGTTTAAGGTAACAATTTAAATCCTAATCCAGAATAAGGAGCTGAATTTTCATAAAAGGAACTAATCCTAGACCCTACATAGCCCCAAATCTCCTTTTTTTGCTACCAACAGCAGTTTAAAGAACTTATTTACAGTACACCCATGACAAGCTGTCTGATCCTATTTATTCAGACTTATACTTAAAGGGGTCAGTAGAGGCTTTGTCCGCTTAAAAGCACAAGCCTGAAAAGTGTCACATTCTTCACTCCAGGGAAGTGCAAGTCACAATTACACCGGAGTTAAAACTGTCCAGACGAAATCAGAACTGGCCAAAATCTAATCCTTTTGGGGGGAAAAGTCGAAGGGTATTTTCTCCAGAAAAGAAGTTTACAAATGTCTTGTTTTTCCTGTCTCAGCTTGTTTTCACTAACTGGTCCTATATTCTCTATTACACAAAAACGTTTAACTAATATTAAGGACAAACAAACAAGTTCGTTAGAGTATTAATAATGTTTTGATACAATAAAAATCAGGTATTTCAAGGTACCTATCTATTAATGAAATAAAGCAGCATTGCCTTACATGGGCAAATGCACCCATGTGGGTATTGATCACCAGCTGTAAATTAACAGGCTAGATTATGTTGCAGTAACTTGCGCATCCATATACATATGATGATACTGGAGCGGCAAATGTAACTCGTAGCTGGTGGGTTCACAAAATCAAGAAAACAAATTTTGTTAATGGTTTTGATTTTAGATACTGTAAGACAGTCATATTTAAACCAGAAATTTATATAAACACACACACAATTTTTTCATAGATATACACATACAGAAATTTTAGCAGACTTTAGGTGATCGCAGGGTTCAACTAAAACTTTTGGATAACAAAAGTAAAGTCAAACCCAGATTTTCCACTGCATAAACATTCTGACTGGCTTAATTTAGCTTCACATATCTGACTAAACCCTATAAAACATTGGCAGCCCACAGAAATTTGCCAGTTGCTAGAGCTTTTGCAATATGGTCTATTGAAACGATGAGCAACTGGGCAACACTTGCTCATGCCTTGCATATGAAAGGTTCCAAAAAGTATGCTGATTTGGTGTGTCTCACAGAAACAAATACAGCTTCTGACGATCTGTCTAATCCTAATCGCAAACCAATGCCTGCCTTCTCTTAATGTCTCCATCTCTTCTAATCTCTCTCCTTCCCTTGCTCTTTGCACTGGTTAACAAAATGCTTCATTCAGGAAATCTACTACTGTGCCTATTACCAATGAACTCTGATGCCCTGGACCATGAACCCAGCTCCATTTGAGGAAAATGCCTCAAGTTTGTCTAATGAAATTATTTTTCTGCATTGCTGCCTTGCAAGACTATACTGTCTTGTACACTGAGGCATTAGCCTTAGTGAACTGAAAAGGGGAACTCTTTTTAAAGTAAGGTTAATGCAAAAATCGAATGCAAGAGCTTAAGTGCCTAATATTTCTGTTTGTAAAATAGAACAAGAACTTTGTTGTTAAACTTTTCTCTCAGACAAGTGCAAGTTTTCAGCTGTGCTCCTCCAAAAGTTCAAGTCAATCTGTGGTCCAAAGTGGCTTTCCCTTTTATAAAAGCTGGTTCCAATCCACATTAGTTTACAAATTAAATGAGCCTGGCAGGCTTAAATTCATCTTCAAGGAACACTTGTCCATATGCAGCTCCAAGCCCCAACTGGACGTGACTGGTGGTGCCCATCCAAGGGAGACCCAGAATGGATGTGATCAGCAGGTTTGCCAGCACTTCTGGAGGTGTGATACGCACACCTAGAGAAAGCAACCCTCTAAAACCTCTTTCTGCACTGTTATAGCTTCTAAATGGGAAAAGATTTTAGAGTTGATAAGCCAGTTTATTTCTTACTAATAGTGTGTATTCCAGTGGGTAAACTTGCAAATGACAGCAAACAGGCAAAGAGAGATACGGATTGCAGTGATTTTGCCTGTTTGCATTGGGTGGGGGGAACAACACAGAGGAAAATGTAATTTTCCAGCTCTAGAAAGAAAAGGGGGATAATTTATATTTCTAATACTCCCACTCTCCTCCTTCCTAATTTCAATTTTGAAGAAAGATGCTCAGGTTAAAAGAGCCTATGGCAAAGGCAGATATAGCAAAGTTCTGTCCATGGGACATCACACCCAAGTTCACTAAACATTGCTGCTTTTGGGACCAGGCTAGTTCCACAGAAGAACACGTGTACTGCATTAGGGGGCCAGCTCAGGTCAGCACTAGGTTGGGAAGTCACACCTCAAATACTGTGTTCAGTTTTGGGCACCTCACTACAAGAAAGATGTTGCGTTGCTGGAACATGTCCAGAGGAGAGCAACAAAGCTGGTGAGGGGTCTGGAGCACAAGTCTTACGAGGAGCAGCTGAGGGAACTGGTGTTGTTTAGTCTGGAGAATAGGAGGCTGAGTGGAGACCTTATCACCCTCCACACTACCTGAAAGGAGGTTGTAGCGAGGTGAGTGTTGGTCTCTTCTCCCAGGTAATGGGTGATGGGATGAGAGGAAACGGCCTCAAGTTGTGCCAGGGCAGGTTTAGGTTGGACACTGGGAAAAATTTTTTCACCTGAAGGGTTGTCAAGCACTGGAAGGGGTTGAGTCCCCATCCCTGGAGGTATTTAAAAGCCGGGCAGATGAGGTGCTTAGGGACATGGTTTAGTGGTGGGATGGCAGGGTTAGGTTGGGCTTGATGAGCTTAAAGTTCTTTTCCAACCTAAATGATTCTATGATTCTATTTTTATACTAAACAAATGGTCCTCAGACTCCAGACTCTAGAACTTGCTCTCTATCATACGTATTTTTGATTCTGCATTTGTCTGTGTTTCTTTGTCTATGAGATATCATCTGATATTGTACCAGTCATGACAGCCAAAACATCCTAAGAATCAAATGTTGGAAAAAGCTGGATATCGATAGATCTCCCCATCATTTACTTATCTGAGTTAAACATGTATCAGAAGAAAAATAAAGCTAAAATCCAGTGATTTTATGTACCTCCTAATTAAAGTATATGATACAGTCTCTAAGTTTCCTCCCGACATCTAATTAAAGTTTATATTATGCATAGAATATGTAGAGTCCATTAAAAAAAAAAGCAAAAAGTCTGATAATCTAAATCAGCTAAATCTTATTAATCTAATAAATCTTAGTAACATAAATCTTATTTTTATTTGAAAGATTCCTACATGTTGATAACCTGGCCTTTTGCCAGTTTTCTAGTTTCCACTGGAAGACAGAAGTTTGAGCAAAGACGTTGAATCACCGATACGTATCAAGACATCTCCACATCAATGCATTTATCAGAATGAGAATGATGAAGATTTCTTTCACAGTGTTCAGAGAAAAATCTACTTGCCCATCATTCTACCTCTGAGAAATTTCCTAACTGTTTTCAAATTTATGTAAAAAATAGGTTGGCAGCAATCACAGCATTTAACAGCAAGAGTCCCACATTATCATTTCAAAAGATGTGGTAGCCTGCTTGTGAATACGAGTTTTAATTTCTCCAAGGATAGATATTCTTCACCTCCAAACCATTCTGGTGACCCTCCTCTGGACTTGTTCTAATATATCAGTGCCTTTCTTGTACCAAGGATCCCCAAACTGGACACAGTATGCCCAGAGCAATCTCACCAATGGCAAACAGAAGGAAATAATAATTTGCCTCAACCTGCTGGCTACACTCTTGCTAACATCACCCAGACACAGATGAACTTTGCTGCAAAGCCATATTGCTGACTTGCGTTAGACTTGTCCACCCACTCCATGTCCTCCTCTGCAAACCTGCCTGTACTATTGCATGGGGTTACTCCATCCAAGATACAGGGCTTTGCCTTTGCTAAACTTCATGAGGATCCCATCAGCCCATTTCTCCAGCCTCTCAAGGTCCTTCTGAATAGCAGCCCTTCACTCCAGCATCTGTAGCATAGAGTTATTCCATTTGCATATATGCTCTGGATTAAGATAGCAGAGATCATATCTAGATTTAACTGCTGATCTTATTTTCAGGAAATGCGTGACTCCTTTGTCACAGAGCTAAGAGATCTCAAAAGAACAGAGCTTTTCTTGGAAAGCTTGCACTCCCTGCAACAGAGCAAATAATTCATCAAGGCTCTCACTGTAATACTACATGTACCCTAGACAAGGGGCTGCCAGGCTCCCTAGCTCCTGTTTCATTTAGAATCAAATTACTGTTGAAAAGTAGGGTTCACTTCAGAAATACGACTGGTAAAAATATATACAAAATACATCATTTTCTCAAGAAAATATCTTGCCTAAGTGGTTTTCTGAATCAGTATATTACACTGTAAATGTGGAGCTCTTTAAATAGTAGCAACTACAGTGGTCTACTTCAAAGTGTAAGTGCAAATGGTCCAATGAAAATCACACAAAATAAATTGTTTGAACAAATTTCATTACCATACATGATTTTTCCAAGTTTCATTTCCCTGTAAACTAAAGCTAACTCTTGGGAAGATTCTAACCCTCAGCAAGATGTAATATTCCAGCTGAACACTGGTTGCAAAGAAATTGCTGTGTGAAAATATGTCTCGTCAAGACCCTTGATCACGGTATTTTAAGATATTATTTTCCTTGACTGTTAAGAAAGAATTCTTGCCTAGTATCTGCCAGAACAGGCATATCTTGTGGGACTACAACTTCTTAGTGGTAGCGTTACGTAAATGGGTATTAACTGCTGCCCCCATAACACAAATGGATGTTTTATCTCTACCAAACTTATTCTTTTTGAAGTAACAATGCTCTAGGCAGATGGTCCAAGATGGAAGCAAAGCGGAAACTCACCTTCTCTTGATGGTAAGCATTGCTCCCAAGAGGATAATAACAAACATCAGAAGACCAGCTATAACTCCGGCCATTTTCACTGTGCTGTCAACTTGTTTTTCTGGTTCCACTGCATTGGAATTCTGGGTGGAAGCTCCTTAAAAATGGAGGGAGAGGAAGGAGGAGATAACAAGAGAATTTGTAGAATAATCATGCAATGATCCATTTTAAATATTCATTTGAAAGCCTAACAATATATTTGCAATCACATTGCAATAGACAATTGTCCATCTGACCAAATCTGCCTTTACTAAGGGCTAATGACAGATAATTCAGAACAGGAATACGGTATAAAACCCCAGTGTAATGCAACTGACTCTAATATTTTACCATATTATACAGTAATGGGGAATTTACTCTTCTGAAGCACTCAGCATACACCCAGAAGCAGGAGAATTAATAGCAGTTATAATTTTCACCTCAAACAGCGTAAGTGGAGGTGCAATCCTTACTCATTGAAATAATGAATGTAAAAGTTTGCAGTAACATATCCCACAATACTGCTTGCAGAAACTTTTTTTTCTTCTAAAATCAGAACACATTTGCATTTCTCACTGTACTGGAGGCCTGGTTTTTGTAAACATATGGTTACAATTATGCATGTAGCCAGCATTAATCCAACACACAGAGCACCCTCCACATCATCTAATGTATTCCATGCATGAGTTCTTCTGTGGCCCAGGCAAGACAATATGATTTCTATTTGAAATTTTTGGGTTTTTAAGAGTAAAACCTACACACCTAAAAATAAAACATATTTAGGAACATTATTTGCACAGCATTTCTTCTTTTACTTCCTTGTCATGATCTGACTTCAAGTCTTTTGCCCCTGCAATACCTGAGGACCTTGCAGAATGCTACCCCCTCCCTGTTGCTGGGACTACTTGTACAGTGCTTGCCTCAGCTCTGCTGACTTCACTACTTGCTGCATAGAATTTTTCCAGATGTGGCTTAAACCACTGAGCTTGATTTAGAAAGCCCCACAAGACCTGAGTCGCGGCTACCCTGAAGACTAAATGAGCCTATCTTTATTATATTCCCGATATACTTAACTACTCCTAAAAATATCACCATTGCATTTGATGAAGTTAAATGAATTCAGGTTACATGAGATCACAATCTTATCTTGGGCTTCACCTTTGCTGTTGGAGTCAGCCAAGTCTTCCTCTACAGCTTAAACAGAGTAGGAAAAGGGAATCAAAGGTGAAAACAGAGTGCTGTCATCAAAAGACCATAACGGTTTGCTCTTTTAATAACTCTGTGTTGCTGATCTTTTAGGAAAAGCTGAATCACTTCTGTTCATGAAGTCAGTTGCTTGGGGAGATAATAATCAGTTGAGTCCATATGTTCGTGAGACAGTAGAAAGCCTCCCTGGGTTATTCTTTTGTCCATTTGCCACACATTAAACTGCATATGCTTTAAAAGATCTCTGTCTGCAAAGGATGAGTCCCAGTGGTTACCATGATCGAACCATATAACTGAATATAAGGCTTTCTGATATGTCCTGAATAGGGCCTTAGCTGATGGACTTCCAGGGATGAGGATCTGATCTTGAATAAAGTGTTATATTCTCATCATATCTTGAAGAGTACGTATAGAACAATGACACAATGAATGCAAAACAAGAAAACTCACCACATGCAGTGATAAAAGTATGATTTCACTTTTCCTACAGCTAAGCTGTTAATCTAGTTTGCCACAGCAAAACACAGTATTTATCAAGGAAAAATGCTGGCTGTTTGAAACACACATGTAATTTTCAGCTTTTTGTCCCTGACAACTCTACTGCTCTGCTGCATCCACCAATCTTCCCATTCAGCTAAGAGTTCACTGGTAACTTCTGTGTGCACATGTCAAACACATTAATGGGACGCTGGAGTGTGAAAATAAAGTAATGTGTTGGTTACATCTTTATTTGACAACATCTCTGACAATCTTGGATCAAATCTGCCCAAGACGTGAGCTATATGCCATCATACAGGCAATCCCGACACTATTACACAACAAAATAAGTGATGAAGGTAAAATTTTTCCCTGAAAATGGCTAAAACTCTATTAGCTTAAAGGGAAACTCAGAAGTACTCCAAATTATCTTTCACTTGAGCTGCAGTTACTCCCATGACCCTAAATAATAGGTACTGGAGAATGGTTTTCTATGACAAACAGCACAGTCAGACCCCCTCCATTTTTGAACCATCTGAATACCCTCATGCTTTGTAAGCCAAGTTAAAAAAATGAAGAATGTGCAGTCAACTCCATCCTCTAATCAACTAGATCAGTTTGATTTTGCCAGGCTGTTGCTTGTTACTACAGGCAATGTGTGGTCAGTGCATTTTTATTTGATATTTCTCATCCCGTTGTAGACTACTGCGGCTCTAGAAAGAGAGTAAAGGCTTATTATCCATCATGACACCTACACGCTGTGGTGACTGATTCACTTGGATCTCCTATGCAACTATTTCTATCTATCTTGGCAAAGGCCAACAATTCCTTTAGGCTACTAGTCCAATCATTTGTAAGTTGTCAGCTAACAGCGCCGAGGAATTGATAATATGCCAGAGTCAGTAAATTCCTAGGTCTTAGATTTTTAAAGCTTTGCAATGAAACTTTACTGCAAAAGTCCCTTGTTTTTCTGCCATTCTGGCACATTTTCCTTGTAGGTGCCTAAATCTCCTGTGGTTGCTTGTACTCCCACCTGCACCACGACCAGCTGTAGGGAAGGAGAATGCTTCTGTTCTGGCAGGAGGAGGTCTGTGAGCTGCTGCTCTACGTACAGAAGATGACTTCTGCTGCTCCTGGGAGTAACACTTTTTTAGAACACAGGTTTGCTTCTCTCCTTTACCGGCACACAGGCAGATTAAAACCCTCTGAGCACAGAAGCCCATAAAAACTGCTCAGGCAGCCATTTCATACAAATGTCTTTAAATACACTTGGAAAGCTCTGCACTACCACACTTGAGGGGCCACCCTTTTCTTTCTGAAAAACAATGTTTATATACTGCTGACATTAAAAAAAAGAGAAAGAAAATAAAATATAACTATATTTTCTAGTGGTTACTTCCACCACATTTCCTGGAATAAATTGTGCCTTGTAACTGAAGCTGGATACCGGGATAATAGGATATAGAACAGGTCACCACTGTTATTACTGTGTGTATTTCAGTGTCACCCAGAGCCCCCACTAAGGCCAGGACCCCATTACAGTGTACTAACATGAAGTAGGACAATTTTCTGCCCTAAGCTTACTTTCTTAATAAGGAAGGCAAATGATAGAAGACAGTGCCAGAGAAGCAAAGACTGTAGGTCCCTTGACTCCCTATCTGTGCATTATCTACTAGACCAGGATACTACATTCAGACACATTTACGTACTGTACAAAATGCACTTTCCCAGAAGCTTGATCAGTGGCATGAATTTCTTTCCCCACCAACCAAATTTACTTTGTTTTTTCAACCCCTTTCAAGATTCCCAGAGATCCAGCATCCTGCAGTGAGACAGAACACATTACATGGAGCATGGTCATGGGAGATACTGTTCTGGTGATGCTGCAGAGATGCAGAGAGCAGAGCAGGGGCAAATGGGCTATTTCCCAGAGTCACCTGCCTCATCAGCCCATGAGAAGTCAGGTTTATGGATCATCAAGGACTAATGCTTTTTTTTTTAGTAGCGCACTCACAGGCACCCAAGGTCTAATCCAGCTATCCTGCTGTGGATTCATAGACACATAAATTCCAGACTAGTTCAGTAAGATGCAACTACTGGAAGCGTGGTTTCATATTGTACCAGCTCCTTGCAGCTTTTAGCCTTTTAAATTCCTCCTTGCATCAGATCATGACTAAAGCTGGCCCTGCAGTGGACGATAACTTAAGAACAAGACTTTCAAAATCCAAAATTAATTTCAGTATAGAGGGATGCTGTTTGTATTCCAGAATTAAGTCTTTCAGAAGATTTCTTTAGCTGAAAGTGTTTCTGTCCACAAGGAAGACATGACGTGGGAGCTAGGAGGCAATTTGCATGTAATTCCAACAGCCTAAACTCAACTCATAACTAAAGAGGAGAACCTTCTCAAAATGCTAAGAAAGTGAAAAATCACCCACTTACCAGCAAGCATTCATATGTAGCACTATACACTCCTAGAGCGATATTCATATGTACTTTAAATCTGCTTAATGCTCATGCAAGGTAAGTAATAAATTACTTTATTTACTTTATAGATCTAGAAAGAGTAAGGATATACCTTTGGCATCACAGGCACCTAACAGCAGAGCTGAGGACTGACATTTCTGGACTGACACCCTGTGGCAATTCCATCAGACCACGCAACCTCTCACAGATGGTGATGGGGGGGATGGAAGGGACAGGGGCGGATGGAGGGAGAAACAGCAATGGCAACTAAGTGAAAGATACCATGGCAATCTTTCACCCAGCAATTTATGCACAGATATATTATTTGAGAACAGTAAGCCACCAGATATAAAGTGACATTCTCTGTGGAGGTGGCACACTGAAGAACACCCAGGAAAGTATGATTATGGAGTGCAGGTAGCTAAGCAGAACTGATAATACAACTTTCTTCTATAAAATGTGTTTCACAAACTATAATTTGAAACGTTCTTTATTTAAAGCAGCAATTACAATATCGCATTAAAAAAAATATGTAACTGACAGGAAAAAGAATTCCAAAGAGCCATAGGCAGGAGGAAAAGATGGGTATTTATGTGAGATTTCCAACTGGTGAGGCATAAGTAACAAAGTCCTGCAATGGAAGTGGTGCCACAGTCATCAGCAGCCGTGTCACTGCATAGGAGAGAGAAGCATCCCATACCACAGCTGGAGAAGAGAAAGCAAACAAGCTCGAAGGACAGCAGGAGGCAAGAAAAAAGCAGTGCAAATGTAAGTGAGGGAGGGACAAAATGAGAGAAGCAACACAAGTAATGGGAGATGGCCAGATGACAGAGAAGATCCAGAAAGGGGACAAGTCTGGCAAAGACTTAGGTTTCATTTCAAATTTGTAACACCTAAGAATACAACTTCTTCAGATAGGAAGTCACTCTTGAAACAAAAACCAATAAAAAAATTACTTCAAAGCTTTATTTAACCCAGAAAAATTAATGAAAAATAATGGGTTTGAAGTCATTGTGAGTTAAAATGAGCGGCTCAATCAGGGTAATTTCTTTGTAGCACATAATGGCCAGGCAGCATGCTGAATGTAAAATTTCCTAATAGACTTAGAGGCTTATTTTCAAAAGACAGTTATTCTCAAATCACTTGTAAATATTATTTCCATTTTTTTCCTTTTTTTTTTTTTATGGTGCTTTCTATGCGAGCAGCCTACAAATGATTAAAGCATCTCTGCACGTAGAAATGCATTCCCTTAGGTTTTCAGATCCTGATTATACCTATACCTCTGAAGCATAGTCTCCAATATGCAAACGCAAGGGCAGACAAGCACCTCTAAGAATGGTAACACTGAGATAAAGGTGGAAGGGCACCATTTTATATCTTGATCCGGAATACCTGTTAGCCAGCACTACCCAGGAACAGCCCTCTGCATCAGCTGGCCGCATGCATGGGGTGTGGAAGACAGACTTGTTTTCAACCTTCAGCAGTGTCTACCAGAGTACTGGAACTAAAAAAAGCTATGCACGATTCTGGTGCTTCTGCATATCGTAAGCCAACAAAGTGTAACAGCTCATCAGATCTGAAAGACAGGTTCCACTTTGGCTACTCCCTTGTTGAAATTCATTAAAAAAAAATGAATAGTACCAACAGTATCACTACACATAATGTCACTACACCAACTTTCTGCCTCCAGTTATTGAAGACTGCAAAGAGCGCAGGCTTAAGACTACAATGAGACATTCTCATGTCTTTAAAAAAGCTCAAAAGGAATGGAAAGAATGATGAGAGCCAAAAGCTTTCAACCATATTCTAAGCAGAGAGAGCAGTGAAACAAAACAGTTCTGGAGAGAAAGACAGACCAGAATTTATATGAGGGATTATCAGGCATACAGGTTGAATCTGTAGAAGTATGAGGGTAAACACACAGCAAGGAATCAAGATTAGCATTACTAAACTGAATGAGAATTAAAAAATAGCAGTAAGAGAATAATTGATTCTGGAGATTCCAGGCAAATCCACCACAAAGGCTTTTCTTTTCTCCTCCTATATTTCTTCCTCTCTCTTCAGAACAGAAGCACTCAATTTGTGCTAAAGGCAGATATACGGCCCCCAAGAATGAGAAAGGTTATTTACATTTACTTGAAAGAAGAGCTCAGATAAAGAGCAGCTGTTGTGATGCCTACAAGTGATGCGATGGTTCAGAGGGTGATATCATGTTTCCATTTTAACACTCCACTTTTGCAGAGCTATTTAGAAACTAGCTTGAAATTATAAAAATGGAAAACAAGTAACATTCCCATTATCAGAAGTTGAAATTTGCAAATGTGACATAATTATTGTATGATCTTAAACAGACATGGGAGATCAGTCTTTTGACTGATACAGGCAAAAACTTTACAGTGCATGACAATGCTATGGATTTATAATAGACTTGTTGCACCCTACAAACAACAACTAATTAACATTTGCACCAGTCAGTCCCCTCTAAGCAGTTACTCTGCTCTCATCACGGTTAGCATTAAAAATCCACAGCCATACCGGCTGCAGAAATTGCAAAGTCCGGAGGTAGGTATAAAATGAATACTGAGATAAGGCCACCTTTCGAGCCTGGCTGGTCAAATGTGCTTTAAGTACCACAGCGGCCTACAAAAACCATGCCTGATAAGACTTCACCCTTGAGCTGACTGAGCAGCATGCAAAGGAGAATACTCATCATTTTACAGTAAAAAGGGAGTCATATGGCCAACACATTAGGGAGTCTGCATACACATGCTCTATGCGTGCTGAATATAATACTGGGAAACTTTTTGTACTTTGCCAAGTTGAAGCAGCACTTTCAGGCATGTCTTGAATGAAGATTTTTCTTTTCCTGTACAGTGGTATTACAAAACAGTTGCTTTCAGACCTGCCTCTCTTGTGACATTGTCACATATCCTAATGCTACCATATAGTTTTTTAAATGTCCAATTCCTGGAAGAAACTGCAAAGCTAATGCATTAATAATAACAATCCTGTTTCTGAACATTGGCTCATTGAAAAATCTATGTAAGGAAACAGAGGCATAATGTATTTGTAATAGCCTTGGGTTTGTCATGCCTTTGGAAGTGCTATTTAAGGACACTAACAATGATATTTATGAAAAACTTTTTAAGCAATCCACAGTACCTGACCAGCAGCTGAGACACCTTAGAAAGCATCTCCAGATATCAGGAAATGGAGAAAAAATACTGACTACTCAAGTAAGTTGGTGTAAGCACATGACAGTTAGGAACAAGCAACACTGCTTTCCTCTAAAACATAACAGCCCTCCACCTGCGACTGCCCCATCTCAGCCCTGTGCAGAAGGCTTCAGGGGACATCAGACAGTTCTTCCTGCAAACCTTCAAGCAGAAAAGAGGAGAAAAAAAAAAGACCTCTGAATTTCACAAGCGAGTCATCATGCATTACTCCTTGTTTTAAAATTAAATAAACCAAAACAAATCCTTTCTGATTTGACCTTCACTTCTGGCTTTAATCTCCAATTACTGCCTTTTTTTTTTTTCCCCTCCTTTGCCTGGCTACGGGTTCATCTGTAGATAAAGGTGATTGCACAACCGACCAGCCACAGCCACAACACATAGCCAACAGCATCCTTTCACACCAGGGGGGTCTTGTAAGGGGGCAGCAACCTTCACAGTGCTCCAGGTAAATCCATGCCTGCCTTTGATACCAAGAGGACTTGGCTCACACAGTGATAAACATTTTTTTCTGCTTTTTCTGAAGACCCTTCTTTTCTGAAGCAACCCAGTGTATCCCAGCAGTGGATGCTTTGAATTACAGAGCTGATATTTTCAGTCTACTGTTGCTAATCTATCCCAAATTTTACTTTACACACTGTGCCTCTCCCAGTCTCTCCCCTCCCACTGCTTATTTTAATTGGGGAGCCCAAGATTAGGATCTGCCAATGCAGCAGAGCTCTAGCGTAGACAATGTCCTCTAGAAACTGGGCTGAGGTTATCAAGCTCACTTGTGGCCTCATCCAGTTTTGCACCAGGTTCTTCACTAATTCAAAGCTGGTTCATTAGCTCCCTGGGTTAAGGAAGCCCCTAAAGTCAACACTTTAAATCCCTCTAATTAAGTCTTGATACCAAATTCAGTGAAAATAAAGATGCTCACTGGATTAAGTGGGCATCCACACGCCAGGAAATTTGAGTTGTCTTCTCAGCGGAGAGTATTTTTCAGTAAGAGCAACATAAGTGTGTCTGTTATTAATAATTAATTATGGTGATATAAAAACTTGTGCTAAAAAATAACTTTAAGAAGGGAGAGATTTGTTCAGGGGAAAAGAAAAAAAAAAAACATTTTCATGCATTTAACTTAAAAAGTCTGATAAAACCCTCAAATAAATAGCACAAACCAGAATAAACCCGTCAAAGGAATAACCCAGTGTATGAGAAGACAAAATGCAGTAACAAACAGATCTGAAGTGGGATTAGATGTCAAAGGAATAACCCAGTGTATGAGATGCAGTAACAAACAGATCTGAAGTGGGATTAGATCTGTTTAAAAAATACATTATCTGTCTACAAAACCAGAATATATTTCAGAAAACAACAGAGCCCTCTTAAATGAATCTGAGGGAGCAAGAATTATTAAATGAACAGTTTTCATATACAGCAAAACTGTGTGTGAACAGTAGGAATTTTTTTTCTCCTCATTTTCCATTGGTATTTTGCAGTCTTTCTGTTCGTCCCGTCCCCTGTCCTCTGTCCCACCCCCCCCGCCATGACTTCCCTGGTCACCTTTCAGGGCCATTTCTGAGGCCTCAAGATTGTTAGGCACTCCTCTCCTGGGAAGTTTCCTTTTTCAGTGCTGATGCACTACAAATAAGCAGGTCCATTTCTCTCAATCTTAAAGGCATTTGAACTTCACAGTAATCCCAGTACCTTCTTACCCCTGTATCATTACAGCTGCCCTGGTGTGTAGTTAAAATAATTCTTGGGTGGTGAAGTCATAGCTAGATAGGAACATAACCACGCAGAACTGCAAGAGGAACATTCCTACAAAAATGTAATCAATCCCAAAACTGAGAAATCAACCCTCCTTTCCCCTCCCTTTCATATTAATCACACATAACTGTCACAGCCCAGTAAGTCGTTCTATGCACATCAGGCTAAAGTGGAAGAAACTACTTCCACAAGCTGAGAGGATTTCCTCTCTATATTTAAATTTTCTGGAGTGAAATGATGGTACTGGTCCCAGTGTTATACACAACAAGGCAAATTTATGACACAAAGACCTTCAAGTTCATTCTGATGGAAACAGCAAAACCCTTGAGAAGTTCTGAACCTCCTCACTAGTGATCTGTGAATGGTGATCTTTACACAGTGACTTGATTCTGCAATGTTTCTGATTCCAGCAGAAGTTTCTATACAGAGGACTGACAGAACCTAGTTTTCATTTTCCTGTCATCATTTCTTCAACAGCAGAACTCAGCAGTCTAAGAGTAAGTGTAATAATCAGCCCCAGCTGATAACCGTAGCTACTTTTAATTAAAAAACACACGGTCATCTCCATGCATGCTCAGGGAGAGATACAGCCTCTGCAGAGGGCCAGAAAGGGATCCATAGGGCTCTTCAGTCATGCTCAAGTGCTCCTGTGAAGATTTAAGTGGTGTTTGGACCTCTGGACGACCCTCTGCACAGGCGTATATTCACTTCAGTGCACAAGGCGTGCCATCTAAACAGTGCCGCCTTTATACTGTAGTTAGAATAATTGTAGAAGCATTTTCCCATGCAAACCAAATATGAAACAAGAAGTCACGAAGCTGCTCAGACTTCTGGAAGTTTGAACCATTTTCCTTTTCCTGAACTGATAATCACCTGTGCTCAAGAGGCTGGGCGGGTTTCGCGTGGTCACCTGTTGCCTACCTATTACTGCTAAGAACAAGCAAAATCGTTCCCAGGCAGCATGCACAAGAAAAAAAAGGAAAAAAATAAAAATGTACCTCGTAATGATTATTAAAGTTCCATTCTTTCATTTGCAAGAACTCACATTTTAAAGAAAGAAGAAATGAGTATCAGGAGATAAGGAACCATTAATGAGCCCTCTGCCTTGGTTTCAATTACACTGTGAAATTAATTTAATGCGCTTTAAGAATACAAGAGGTAATCGCTCTGTCTTGGTAAGAGGTTGCAATTTTGTCCAATAAAGTGTCAATATAAATATGTTGCTTTAAGTCAGGGAGAACAAGTCAGTTAATTCAGAAAGAATGGGACATATTAAAACAAATGCTATCAAGGAAACCAAATGGCAAAACTAATAAATAAACTGGCTGAACAAAAATTTTATGGCAGAGAGCTGGTAAATTGGGGTTTAATTAGAAATTTGTTTTTAAAGAGTGTTTTATGCTAATGATATGCATCCAAATGACTAATGCTGTGAAAGACAACATTACTCCAGTAATTTAAAAAAGAGGAGTAGCCCATGTGAGTAGAGATGTTTACGGCTGGAAGTGGTAGAAATCTGAGACCAATGAACCTGAAAATAAATACAGATGTAGATACAAAAGGTTAATAATGCTTGTGGATTTAAAACATGCTGGCAAAGTATGAAATGGCCACACAGACTGGACAAACGCAGCGCTTTCTGATGGATTGTCAAATGTCACCACAGCAAAGGCCAACGAGGGGTCCCTGCCACTGGCCCTTTCCACTGGCATCACCCAACTCTTATACTGAGACACTGGATGGAAGGAAATGAGCTCAATAGATGTGCCTGACCAGCTGGGTATCTACCAGCTCTGCTTTGGAGGACGCACTACTGGTGTCATGACCTAGTACTCTGAAATGTTGACACCCTTCCCCATGCAACATTTAATAAGCCAATACACAAAAATTTGAGATATCTTTCTTGCAACCACAAGAATCAAGTTCATCTAAACAGGACCCGCACACAGAAAGCCATGCAGACGAGTGCACCTCTGGAACAGATGGGAAGCAGCTCCTGCGTGGAGCTGAACTGAACTGAAGTTGATCTGAACAGCCTTATTCCTTGCTAAAAGAGCGAAAACTGGGAAATCTCCAAAAACTCTCTTTAATGGACTAAAGCACTTTTTTTCTTGGTTTTGAGGCAATGGGACATACAAATCAAATTGCCTCCCAGCCTGCTGAAGTAGCAACAGTGGAACAGCCTCATGTATCTCTCAAGTAATTAAAGCTACTCAGCTTCTGAACAGGTGCCTTGCAGCAACACCCAAGATGTGTTATAATCCCCCAGTAACACACTGTCTAACACATTTTATTGCCTAATTACTCCCACACTCATGTTTACTGCCCTTGTTAATCCAGTACTTCAATAGAACACTTGCCTTGCTTAAACATGTCTTGATCCTAATCTTGCTGTCATTGGTGTAGATCAGAACTCATTTCACTAACGTTAATGGAGCTACTGCAGTGTCAGATGTCTAGGAATGGAAAAATTAGGCCTATAGCCCAAAATTAATGTTTGGTCTGGCACCAGTAGTATGTATTTATTTTCTTGCATCAAAACAAAATATGCTTTTTCTCTGGTATCAACTCAAAGCAGAGCTTTTAAGCTGTCCATGCTGAGATTAGGCTGACTCCAAAAAAGGGGTTTTTTTTTAGTGACTCTTGCCAAAGCCACCACAGTGGTATCTTTGCTAGCAGCTCTGATGATTTCGTTCAAGGCAGACTACAGGTTCTCTCATTCTCTCCTCAGAAAAACAACAATGCAAGTAAAGGCAAATACAAGGCAATGCCATTAAAGATAATCAATATAATGAGCAGACAGAAGACAGCATAGGCACAGTAGGTCAGCCAGAACATCCCAGCTATCAGGCTTTGGTCAGGTCACAAGGATATTATAGTTCTGTGGGTGTCTCTGTCCATTGCCGCAGAGCAGAGGCAGGGCAGATGTGACACTCCTCTTCAGGGGCTGGGATGTGGAGTGTCTGAGTACTTCTGTTCATATGGAGTTAAAGTATGGTGGGAATTCAGCCTCGTGACATACGGAAATCTGAAACTATGGGAAAGCTCCAAATCACTGAACCACATTGTTCAGCGATTGCTCAGCTGCTTGTACTTCAATGCCAGCAATGGAAGATACTGTTACATTATCAAGACTACAAATTTGCTCATGATGCTACCTTTCTTGTGAGCTGCAGGCAATACTGTACCTTTGAAGAGCTAAAACTGCATAAAATTAGCCACAGCTGTGAATATTCCACTGTCCTTGGTAATGTTCAGGCACTGAGAAATACAGCACTGCAATTCACAGAGTGAGGACAAGGAAAAAAAAAAATTAAAAAAAAAAGAATTTCCACAGAGATTTCCACACTCCATGTATAGAAATAAGACATTGGCCTGTAAATAAAAAGTTATCTCCATTGAGACAGCAAGAATAAACACTAGAACTACCACAATTTCTTGTCCTTTTCCGTCCATGTCAATCAAGAAAAATGCTAAAGAATAAGATCACCAAAAAACCAGTGGCTCTAGGCATCCTCAGGCTCTACCATCTCTTTTATATCTCCTATCAAATTAATACTAATACAAGATCCTTTTTTAAAAAGAGACGGCATTCAGAAACGACAGGATGAGGGTAGCTTTTTGACTATTCCTGGAGACCTAACAAGTTAACGAAAATTAAATCAGTTTGCAGAAGTCAAGGTCAAATACTTATATGACACTTCTCTGAAGTACCCAAATCTGACAGCAAAATCAAAAGGGCATGCAAGAATGGGACTTTTCAAACTACGTAGAGTTTTTATTTTTCTTCGAATAGTCACAGAGCAAGTATCTTCTCTGCTGCTAGCATGACAACATTCTTCCACCAACTCCAGAAAAAAGAATGACTGAAACAGAAGAAACTACAGGTTTCCAAAACTGAATTAATCCAGTTTCTCTGATCTCATGAAGAGACCTTTAGTCATGCTCTGGGAAAACTCTGGGGAGACTCATTTCATCCAGACTCATCTTACCCCGTCCTGCTCTTTCTCTTTCTACCACCAGAAAGCCAAAATAAGGTATCCAAAATGGTCACATCACTACCAGCTAGAAAAACGGAGAGGGAAGCAGGGGAGACTGACACACATAGAATGTTCATAGCCCAGAGAGATGATTTAAATGAAGATTTTATGAGGAACTTTTAAAAAGGAAAGCAACAATAGGATATGGAGAGCACCAGAGCCACAGATGAAAGGGGGAAAGGGGAGAAATGGCTCATCATCCTCAGCTTTCAGTGGTGACACAACTGCTTACAGCCCTACCAGTTTGCATATCGGGTCTCAGCAGTGAAAACAGCTGCACAGGTGGGAACTCCATGCAGCACCTGCCATCCCAGCGCATGGCTTTCTGTAACAGACTGGGGGATGTCTCCACGTAAAGGTTGAAAAGTCCTCTTCTGCTACCCAACAACTCTTAGCTGGGGCTTCTTTGATCCCTCCCAACTCCTCTGTAAGTGCAGATGCAGAAGTGATGAGGATAAAGTACCTAGAAGTAATTAACTTCTGTTACTGCCACAAGACAGAAAGGAGTGAAAAAAATGGATGGTGCCTCAAAGAAAAAAGGGTCATGGGTTCCTGCCGATTTTTTGTTCGACTCTGGAAAGACTCCACAGGCAGTAATGCAGTTATTCCACACTACAGCAAAGCAGCGAGAGCACAGGATGCAACCCTGAGTTTTGGAAATGGAGTAGTACACACCTGTAGTATGGCCCGTGGCAATTACCCTATCATTTCCTTACAGCTCATTTTGAGACGTGTTGAGGAAGTCTCTTTACCTCTACTTCTCTGGTTTTGTTACAAGTAAATTGGTTTCTGACACTTCTGCTGGCAAAGTAGCCCCTGGGGTGATTTTTGAAGTCCTTAGAAGAGTTCTTAAAACTAATTCTAAATTCCAAGAAGGAACCTGGACACTGTCATCACTGGTCCCTCAAGAGCTACACCTTGTGAAGCAACCTGAGGATTGGACCATTGCATCTTAACAATATTTGTCTTGGGTTTGCTCAGTCTCATCTGTCTGACTTATCCATTTGGTCTATTCTGAACTAATTGCAATGAAAATAGGGAATGTACTCCACTCTGTTGAATTATACCACGAAAATGGTGTAAGATGTAATGATGTAAGAATTGTGCCCCGCTGTGTTCAAGTTTAGGCTTATGCAAGATCTCATACTTATCTACTTTATACAGTTGCAGAAAGAACAAAGTTAATAGGAAGCTTTTTCAGTGACATTCTGCCAATAGCAAGAACAGTCCTCATGACAGGAAAGCTGTCAACAGAATAAGAGAAAGAAGGAATCACAGAGAGACAGACACCTGGTCTTCAAAAAAATAACAGAGTCCACACATATAGTGAAGTGGTTCTGGAAATTGTTGTTCTGCCTTTGTAATCTTCCTTTAAAAAAAAAAAAAAGCAAAAAAGAAAGAAAGAGGCTTGTTCTTTGAATAATAACTGTAACCAGGTTGTGTCACCACTGCAGCTTTTACATTACTGGCATTGTGCTTTGCAGGAAAAGGAGATCCACATACCTTTTGTTGCCAGCCGGACACAGTTGATTTTTGTTTCCTGAAAAATAAAAAAAAAAAAAAAAAAAAGGAAAAAATCAAGGTGTGTAATTTGCCCATCTACAATAAATATACATTCCTTTAGACAGATACTAAAACAAATAAGTGTTTTTCTTACACTTCATCTCTGAAAATACCACCACTAGTTGCATAAAGCACCCCATGCTAATGGACTTGCATACAGCTGCTTCTCTAACTGTTGAGAAGTTAAGAGTGACAACATGTTTTTCCACACTCGATGTGTGAGTGATGGGTCCCATGTAACTGCCTGACTAACTAATGGAATTTACCAGTTAAATGACCTGATCTGTAATAGGCAGACAAGCCTTGGGTCAAAAGTACATACAACTGTACATCTAATTTTCATGCACCATTACTGCAAATTTTGCAAATTGGGTATTTATTTAAACACATGGCAAACAGACACTGAAGCAGTCATTTGAGTATTTCAGCTCTCTGATATGTACGTGAAGCAAACCAGCATGCTGTATGGCTGGCTCTGCCAAATGAGCTATTCAAACACAGCCCACACCACTGCAGTTCTTCATTGCAGAGCTGGGATAAAACCCAACACTTTTGTTCAATCCATCTCAGAGCCCGCAGATCTGCGTAAACAGGAGTTTGGATCGGAACAGCAATGTTATGTTTGTCTAAACTAAAAGCTTAAACTCGGCAGCCTTCTCAGGCCACTTCTGCTGAAAACACATCCCTTCTGGTATCCCCAGCTCCTCAGTGTATAGCCCTTATTGGCATGGATTGCCTCTGTCCGATGCATCATTGCTGTCCAAATTTTAATGTGTTGCTTTGGTTAAAAAGCTGACTTTGTCAGGCGGTAATCTGCTGCAGGGTTTTCTTAGCACTTTATGTCTTTACATGCTCTTGTACATGTCTCAAGTGTAACGAATACTGCATAAATTACTGTGTGTAACAACGCTACATTAATATGGATGCTGTCTGTGCTCTCGAAACAACAGCCTAGCAAATGCACTGCTGAGCATCTCATTCCATCCTCAAGCAATAAGATGAACACTGTAAAAGTCTGAGTTTGCTCCTGGGGAAAATCTGTTCCATCTGTGACAGGCCCTCCTTGGCCTGAGCAGAAACACACGGTCCTGTTTGTGCCTCTCTCCTCACACTTACATTGCACAGAAGAAGGGGTTAACTGCAGGATCCACACTGGGAAACACAAGAGTGATTCCCTCTGATGCCTGTTCTGTTCATCCATCAAGATACAAGCCAGCCACACTGTCTAGATGTAAGCAACCCTGTACGTAGTCTAAACCCAATGAAAATCAGGACAAACTCCCTTTGTTGATCTTGCTTCAAACTCTTTTGTCTTTCAGACTTCCCAGCCGTACATCCCCCAGAGTGGGACTGAAGCACTGTCTATCCCAGTAAACAAGAGACCTCTCTCTGGCACACTCACCCCTCTCTCCCTCACAAATCAACTCCTCTACACAACCTGTACAACCATCGGCACTGCAAAGCCAACGTAGCTGTACAACAGAGCTCCCCATTCATCTCTGCCTCGTGTATAATCAGCTCGAATTGCCAGCTATTCTGGAAATCCCAAATCTTTATTACTAATGATGATATATGAAGCAGGAAAAACATAGCTTTATTTTCAGAGCACAGCCTCAGCACATAATGCTGGGAATTATAAGACAGACAGATTCTTATGTAGTTTATAATCTAGGACAAGGTGACCTGGAAAATCAGCAATGAAAAATAAAATAAATAAAAAATACCAAGATAGCATTTTTGAAGTCTAAAAGTAGGCGGACACTTGCTAACATTTTGTTGTGGAATTTTTTTGTGTGTATTTATTGCTTTCTGCTAGCTTCAAAGTGCAACAAAATGCTGGAGAAATTAGTCAATGTTGAGAAAAGGTGAGAAAACAAAAACTGAAATCTTGTTAATGATGCTGTAACTGATCTCATTTGAGCATGTGCATATTCCTGCACATTACCCTCCCACAGGGTAATTTGAGAAGACAGGATGCAGTGTGTTCTGTTTGCATCTACATCTACTAATTGCTGCATTTAGCACAGACAATCATAGTTATCAGAAGACCATGATCTGGCACTGCCAAAAGCAAGGGCAATCAATCACTAGAGGAACAAGACATCTGGGCTTCAGAACTTCATTTCAAATTGCATCTTCTGCGAAGAAAAACCAAAATGAAACCTGCACAGACACCAGACATCCAGCTACTAGGGATGCTAAAGTTTGAAGACTTGAACCTAGTCCGTACTCCTGATTAGGGCTGATTATTCCATCTATCTGCATCGATCACCTCATTGATCAACCCACTGCTCATCTCTGCGGTGTCTCATAAAAATGAGATCTCTTTAAATTTACTCTGTTTTTCTTTGATTGATGCTGAGAATTGTGAGTTTGTATGAACTTTTCTATGAAGAAACAGAATAAATAAATATACGTGTTTTTTCCAAAAAACTCAGTAAAACCATTTTCCCACAATCATATTTGTTTTCTGAAAAATACTACTTTTGATTCAGACAAGGTGCTTTCCTGCCCCCAGTAAAGTAAGATGCTTCTGTTTAGCCAATTATTCCAAGCAGGAATACACAACGTAGGTAATTCTCAATTATCCATCCAGATGGCTTAAAGCAATTATAAGAAAAATAATGAAATAAAGAGATAATTAAAAAGTTGTAAAAAACCAAAAATAATTTCCCCAAATTTGAGTCTCCCTGTTGTTTCTGAATGTTCTTTCAAATGCTGTGATACCTAATTCCCATTTTATGATATCACATAAGTCTGACAACTTACGTCTACAATAATCTTAATGATGACCCAAGATCCTACATATTCAGCATAAAATATCTGTTTCGTATTACGGCTGAAGTCACAGGAATAATTCAATTTAAGATCCCACTAGCGCTACTACTCTATATCACTGCCAGGTTACGACAGACATTTTATACCCAAACAGTAGTAGAACAACGTAGGCATATTTTAACCAAGATCCTGGAAGAGAATAACACCGCATGTATACATCCTACAGGTCTTGATCCAACCTTCATTTTCCAACATGCCTTGTATCCAGAAAGCTGCATATTAGGCCCATCTACATGTATACTTGTTTTCTGGAACATACTTCCATATGAATAAAACATGATCATGGTGTACCCTCACTCAAGCCTGAAGCCTGGCTAAATTTTTAAGTCCACACACCATGGACATAGACAATATGAGTACTGTGTTTCAGAGTGCTGGCAGACCTTCACCTACAGTTAGAATGAGCTGGAGACCCTCTGAAGAGGACATGGACTGTGCTGAGGAGCTGGGTAAGCCCTCTCTGCCAATACAGCTCATGCACACAGACTTGAAACTACACACCATGAGCCTGATTTAGCATCCCTCTGAATTTCCAGGGGTTTTTTTAAACATTCCTTTCATATAGTTTGTTTCTTCCTTTTTTCAAAGAAAGGGAGCTGATGCTGTCTACTAATTTTTTAGGTTCCTACACGCACATTTCACTGAAGTACACTGGATGATAACAAGACAAGCTCTGCGTCTTTCTCTTTAGTGCTTGGATGGGAACAATTTTCTGCAGAAAAGGGCTATGAGGGCAGCAGGACATATGTTTATGTGACAGCTGCATCTTCACAACCTAAAAGGGCAAATGATTTTTTTTTCTCTTCTTTTACAATGACAGCTTGCTGTTTACAGACTACGAACAACAATAAAAGAAGCAGAGCTTTTTCATCCATCTGTTTTCACACCCACAATTTTTTCTTTCCTTTACTATTATTATGACTTTGCATTGGTTAAACAGTGCTTGCCTTGCCTGAAGAACCACCTGCCAGCACCAGTGAGACTTGCTGTCCCCAGACGTACTGTTCAGGGCTGCCCTGTGACAGGCACAGTTTCATCAGGCAGCTCAAACTGGGGAGAAGCAATTTTAACTTTCGCTGGTGCACAGACAAGACAAGTAATTACCCATTTCCCACTTGGCCTCAGTTTCAACTTTAGTTCCTTGTGTCCCAGAGCTATAGACTGAGCATGCTTGCTGGCAACTTGCTTCACACAGGATACAAACCGTGGTTCTGTCCACTGAACATCCTAAGGAATTATTTTTTTTGGTCATCAACAAATTTTGCTCAAGTTCAGGAGAGCTCTAGATTGTCTGCTGCTTTTTTATCCTGATGAAGCCAACTGTTTGCTGCCTTTAAAATGAATGCATATGTCTGTGCAGGGTCCAGGGACTCCCCTATAATTTCTATTGCCAGCTTAAGGAAACTGCTAGTTCTCCCAGAGACTTAAGCTAACCCTAGTACTTGCCTTTCAAATTATCGCCTATTTTTAGTATCTGTCTCATTTGGAGAAGGGAAGTTTAACAGAATGGTTAGGGATTTTATTATTTACAACAGAAAGCTATTCCAATGATATATAGTTAATAATTGAATACCCATACCTCCCAAACTCTCAAACATGAGGTCGACTGGAGGATTTTATTTACACTGTTGAGAGAACTATCAAGAAAACACTCAGGTCTACATACTCTGGCCCAAATTGGCAAACCAGATGTGGAAACAGGGGCTTACAAGGAGTGAAGTGCTTCCACAGCTGATTTATTTCTGCCCCACCGACTCCAACATGAGATTAAGAAGCAGTAAGCATATGTGAACAAAACTGTACACCCAAAATCCTACTGAACACATTGCTCCTCAAAGCGGTTTAATAGTTCACAGAAGCAATGCAGGTGGCCTTGGTGCCACATAATTTTCTAGAACAGGGTTCGTGCTGAACTGAAGTACCTCACTGTTTTTTTCATGGGCTATCTGCACAGGGATGAATGCCACCTCTCTGTTGGCAGCTCTATCCATACCTCCAAAACGTCCCAGAAGAAGAATATTGTGTACTGCAAGTAGACCGGTCAGCATCTAGAAATCCAGCCTGAAGTCCCCTGATAATAATGAACTGCCCAATTGTGCATGTAGTAGAAGTCATTAGAGAGGAAAAAAATCAATAAGAATCTCTGTAGAGTCTATCATTCCCTCAAAAATAATATTCTCATCGATTCTTGTGGTGCTACTTTTCACAATTCTGGCCTGAAAACATCATTCACCTGTTGGACCACCAGGCTGCAAGAGCAGCTGGCAGCATCCCCCACATCATCTCCAGCTGTGTTACAAAGGCTTCTGCCTCATCCCCCATTTAGAGGAAAAATGGCCAAGAGTTATTGATTGCAACTGTGCCATTACAAGATTTCATTTTAACTCAGTGAGGTAAAATGCAATTGCAGGAAGGATTTTTAGGAAGCTCTGGTTTCTGGGCTGCTCAGAAATTCAGGCAGGTTTCACACAACAGCCAAAGATTTCTCCCCATTTGACCACGTGACTGGATCACTAACCAGAGACCGTCACCTACAATGGCCCAGATAAAGAACTTGGGGACAATAAAACCTGCAACATTTAACTTTGATTATTAAGCCAGTATAAGGATAAGAGAGGATAAGGAGTAGATAAGGAGTAACGGTGCTGCCACCCTGGCCTCACCTTTCAGACGGATAAACACCGAAAGGGCTGGTGTTTTAAAGGCGTGAGCTCAGGGAGGTTTTTCAGAGGAGGAAAACTTCATGCTCTGTCAGGCAGCCATCTGCAGCAGGTGGCACAGGACAACCAGCAAACACCAGTTAACTACCTGGAAGGCTGCAGCAGCATGTGTGGAGCTCCTGCCAGAGGAGAGCGAAGCCAGTTGTCCGCTCTTGTGTCAATTCTTGTGCTAATTCTGTCTAACAATTAAACAGTAACTAACGGTGCTTCCTACCCCCACAGTTACAAAGCCCGGAGCTTCTGCTTCCTTTTTATCTTTTTTCCCCTCTTACTTCAAACTCTGACACATTTCAGTTCAGCATCTGGCTTTCAACAGTCCCTAGGAGGGAAATTCACACAATTTGGAAGCGTTTTGTGTAACAAAGCTGAAAACCATTCTGTCGCACAGATGTTCTATTTAGACCCCTGTCTGGAAGCAACACCACGTTGACCAAACTTCATGCAACTGTCCACAGAAAAGAATTCAGCCAACGACAGCTACCCATTCAAACTCTCAAACAAGTACAACATTGCACATGAGAAGGCAGAAAAGCTCGTGATCTGATTTTGCAGCAATTTGCCACACTTGTTTTTCATCCAGCTGTTAATTACGTTCCTTTCACTGTAACAATCGCGCTAATGGTTGCAGAGCAGAGGGGAACACCAAATGAGCACAACTCTGCACGTACAGAGGAGCTGAAACAATGCAGAACTCCTGCAACACTTCTACCTCCTCCCAATCAAGCTTTTTGACCAAATACAGCATGTTTCTTCAAATTAAGCTCTCCCCAGAGTCCTACATTTCCAAAGGAAGATGTTCTGGTTCACTGCACAAAGGTTTCTCATTGCAGGTTCCAGGTGTGGAAAGAAGCTTTATCATTCCACAACTGTCAGTGATTAATGAAACTATAGAATATCCTAATTAAAAAGTGAGTGGCAATGTTCTGTTAAGTTTTTCATGTGCAGGGGAACATAAGGCTTTATTTTAATTGTGCTAAATTGTTACTCTTTCAGATTTTCTGCAGATGTGCATTATCAGAAGTGCCACATTGCAGCCATAATTATTAGCAGGCTTTACAAAGACCAGTCAAAGCTGCTCAGGTTATAGACATAAGTGAAAACTCAGAACTCTTAAATACAAATTATACCTGTAAACAATTCTGGGAATTAAACAAAACTTATTATTTACAGCTGAAAAAGACTGGATGAAAATCAGACCTCAATGTTTGAAATGTGGGGCTTAAGGATTTTATCCACAAAAAGAAAGTATCACAGCTACTCCTTTGAAGGTCCATATTCCACTCTTGGACATTTCCTCTATAATTTTTTCCCATAGCACTGCACTTCAAGGACATATAAGCATATACTGTACCAATATAAATTATTAACACAGAGGAAATTGCTTGCTCAAATAGGAATTTGCTTTGTCTAGCAGGATACTTCTCATGCTGTCATAAACTGTACATACAGACTCCTTTGATTAACTTATGCTTAAAAAGTCCTCTACTGTCTTGTGTTCCTATTAGAACAGCCCAAGGAGGTTGTCCTTTTTTGAGTCCTTATCAACTTATGTGTAGAGAGTGTGATGTAACCTGCCAGCTACAGAGATCCAATAAAAGCAGGAATCACACATTAGTGCTGCCTTAATCCAGAATGCCAAGGGAAGCTTACATTTCCATTCATATCACCCATTTATGGCATATTATATTGTACTTAAGCAAATAAAGTTTTTTCTTCCCTGGGGATCCATTCACTAGCAATTAACTAGCACACAAGGGGGAACTAACTAGACACAGAGACAGATACATATATTTCACAATTTCCTTTATAAAGGCAAATCCAAAATTGAATTAATTGAGTAGTGCTGGAAGGAAACTAAATGGACTAGAAAGGAAACCGAGGTGAAAAACACCACGGTATTGAAGAGATTTGTGCTTGTCAGCCACACAGCAGAAACTCTGCAGGAGAATGGTGATAAATTAAGGTAGTAAAACACCAAGATATGTTGTGAACATTCATTGGCATTGCTAGCCTGTTAAACGATGCATGGTCCTCCGTGATATGTGGCTCTGTTTTGGGTATAAAAGACACTATCCCAAGTGGAGACCAAAGCCCACACCATTCCCCTTTGGTTTTTTAATTTTGTTCTTTCAGAAGTGATGTCTTAGAGAATTTATCTATGTTAAAGTTAGATTCATGAAAGCAGTGGCAAATGCACTAACACCACACTCGGCTACCCAGCTTCCTGATGCCATGTTAATTCTCTAAGACTCTACATGAGGCCAGAGCATCAAATTCTGTCATGTTATGTGATAATGGAAAGCAATCAGGGGAGTAAAAGGGGAGGAAGGTGAATGACTGCTTAGACTTGATCTGGCCATTACACTGTTAGCTGAACAGACCCAAAACAGGAGAGTTAAAAGAGAAGGTCACAAACTGTTGTAGGCTGGAATAGAAGAATGGAAGAGGGAAAAGAAGCCTTTCCTTTTCCTATGATGGGATCTGTTGGGGCATTACGTGTATGCCAGTTGGGTCTGAGAATAGGGCAGACTGTTTCCTGTGCACTCTCCATTTTAAATTTAATATCACAGAGTAAATACATGTAAAAAAAATCGTTCAGGATATTGAAAAGAAATACAAAAGACATGGAAATAGTCCTCCCTGCAGTACAACTTACATTTTTCTCAAGCTGAAAATCCCAACCATAAGTGCTACATTATGATATGACCTAATTCAACGTCATAGCTTTTGCGTAGTTCTCATCTCATAATGTCTCCTCCAAAACTACAAGCACTGTGAATTGGAGACTATCAGAATATTGCAATTATGTCTTTTAAAAGGACAATAGCTCCTACTCTGGCATTAGTGCAACTGCAAGAAAAAAAAACAAAACACCCAAATTCTAAGCAATTCAATTTGTAAATTACATGCCAACATGTGTCTTTACATTGTCTGGCTCCCCAAAACGTTTCTCATTGGATCTAGTCAACAGAGACAGACTTGAGTGAAGGACAAGTAGTGGCACATTTAATTTTCATCAAATATCTGTAAAAGGGTAATAATGAGGAGTAATTATATTGGCATCCAATGGAGAATGGAGGAGAAAGACATGGAGGATAGACAGAGGTGGTCATACGTACAGATCCAACTTCAATTTTCTCTGCACTTACTCCATTTGCCTTGCTAAGAGCCTGGAAGTATATGCTGTAGCTTTTCAGGGGAGAAAGTGGAGCATTCCAGTAGCCATTGTAGGTTTTGTTGTCACCCACTGTGAACGGCTGTGTGAAGGGCAGGTTGATGGGTTTCAGCTCGGCTGCAAAGTAGTGTGGTGAGTCAAGACTGGAAGCATTCTTGTAGCTCACTGGGACGGAGAAGCATTCAATGATGTCTGCAGCTCTCCGTGCTTTCTGCAGCTTCTCCTCCTTGACAACAAGTTGATAGACACTAGGAGGGAGAAAGGAAGGTAAGATTAGAGCCCCAAGAGCCTTACATATGAAGAATGTTTCCAACAATAAAAGGAAAAGGCACAATAAGACTGCTAGGACATCACAGCAAACACTGTTCTTTGCATGTCAGTAAAATGTGGGCAAGATGCTGATCACTTGTTCTGTTGATTCAGTTGAGTTAATCAAGGTACACCTTGGTGAAGGTCAGAATAGATTTTAATCATATCACACTTTGGGAAAAAGATTAACTAATAAAATACCCAGTCTATAATGGATTTTTAATGTACTGAATATTAGAAAGCAGATGCTTTCTTCTTTGGCCACCAGGTTGAAACATGGATTTTTTGCTTGGGTCCAAATGACAATTGCAGTAGAGGAGAGTGTTAGCAGGTGGCAATGGTGTCAGATCCCTCTTGAAACAGTTTCAGGATGCAAGAATTAGTTTAGATCAAAAAAATTCTCACATCTTCTAAGAACGTAACTTTTTTTGGCCCTCCCTCACATCTCTTTTTGGGTTATACCCTGGAATGTAGAGTTCTCTAACATTAATTCCTGATGGCAAGTCTCCTCCTACCTTCCATCACTAAAAGGCTGGCTTCTATGCTGAGCAGATGGCTTTATAGCTCTCCCAATTCACTTTTGTTTCAGGAAACAACAACAACTCCTCATATTCTTTCCAGCTCTGTGAAAATCCTTTTTGATTCTTGCTAAGCCTTTGGCCTCTATGATATGTAATAGCAATCTTGTTATTTCTAACTTACTATTTCAGGCTCAGAGAGGTTGCAAAGCATTCAAATGCATGCTGCTTTCCCCCCCCCCCCCCAGGCAGTTAACAAAGCCCTTAGGTTCAGTGCTGCTACAGCTGAGGTGGGTTTACTGTCTGCTTAACACCACTCACCCTTTGACAAAGAAAGATACTGCTGCAGTCATTTTATTTTTTGTCAGGATATTCACATGTGCTGCCCTCACCTGTCTGTGTGAAACTGGTCCTTTGTTTAGTTAGACAGGGGAGATCGATTAAAAGATTGGAAACAGCCAGCAGCATATCATTCTCCTGGCTTTCACGGGCTCATTGTTGCAGAAAGATTGGTCTGAAAAATTTCTAGCATAGCCATAGCTCATCAGTGCTTCTGTGGGAAGTGAAGTTCTGGCACCTTCAACAAGCAGGAGTGAACCAAAACTTAGCTCATGCTTTTGAATTAACTGTTACTCCAGGTCTGTGGGCATCTGGCACACTCACTGTTAACAACGTGGTCAGTGAATCACTTGGAAATCATTTGGCTCCCACTGCTAGGCACAAAAACACGAAACCTTACAAGTACAACCAATTTATGAATTGCTTAGTACTGAAGTTGTCCTTATGCAGGCTGCCACTGAAGTCTGCAAATGCAGCAGGAGAACCCACCAGACGTATGGATTGCAGGCTTCAATGATATCCCTTCAGCATTTTGGAAAACATCCCTCAATCCTACAGTTCATTAGAGGCTTTAATAAAATATGTTAGAACTTCCCTGGTATTTATTTTTTTATTTCTCAAAAGATAAACAGGCTTCCCAGCAATACTTCAAGTATTCTCGTTGATGGTGTAGTGGGAGCTGTAAGCAAAAGCCTGTTTAACCTAAACACTCCCCTCTTCTTAGCAATAGAAACTTTTAGATTGCCATTTTGGACACTGTTGACTAACAGACTATCTGCAGGTTCTCATCCTGACCCTTTTCTCTGGCAATAATAATCTACGCTACCGGGAAAGTTAGTCATTTTGTGCAAAATTGTAGCTGACATTTTTACGGGTATTTGCCACATGCCTTCTAACTTAAAAATTCTTGGTTTCTATTCTATCCAATGCCAAAAACTTGTCTTTTCTGGTTATAGAAAATGTTTCCTTTATGTATATACATATATATGTGTATATATACACACACACATATAAATATGTATTAATCTTGTTTCAGCCTAGACAGAGGCCAAGGGTTCCCTTTTTTATCTCCCTGGCCCTACAGTGTCCAAAGGGTGACTCTCATTCTCTTGGTTATCCCACTTGTAAGCAATGAGCCTATAAACTTTTCTGTCTTCAGAGAAGGGGAAGCTTCCAGGAACATGAATCAACAGATAACTGAACACCTTCCCTAATCATCAGAGAACTTATTTACCTTTGAAGACATTCTCAGTTTCTCCTTTGACGGTTCTAATATATGCTCCACCAGTATAGGCACTCTTTCATATCATCAGAAAAGAGTTTTGATACATATAGAACCTAATAACAGATGTATTCTTCCACATTTGCGCTTTCTTACTTAGCCATTAACGCACTTCTTCCCTTCAGGGGGATAACTCACTCTTTTAATGACTTAAAATATTACTTTTAATGTTTATTCTTTTGGAATAAATTGAGGTGTCTCTGGAAGCACAACGGCACATGAGCATTCAGCTGAGATGTAATAGATGTCCCATTTGTGTTCACGTTAAAACCCCGTTAATCTCATGCTCAAATGCTGTCTCCTTTTCTATGAAACAAGTACCTGAGCTTGCGCTGCTGTCATCATTCCCTCTGTCTAAAACACATACCCTGGTGGAACTTAGGATGAGTGACTGACTGCTTTCTTGGCATTCTTTTCCTTTATGCCCCAGCTCACAGCAACTGACACAGCACGTTCATCTGTATGTGCTTTACCTGCTTGACTTGGTGACCGTCATCCTTCACGCTGGCTCTTTTCTCTGAGTCTCAGTTATTTGGTAGTGGTCAAGTGGCTAATCTCAAAGGAGGCGGTCAAGTGTCCAAGAGCGTGGCAGATTTCAAAGATTACTCTGGACTGAAGATGATCACTCTAAGAAATTGTTTCCTTATCAAATGATTACTTTGGTTCTCTCTTTCTGATATTTTGTTCCCAGTATTTTGATCTCTCTAGACCCTCCAGGAATGCAGGATTCACCATTCACCCTTAGCTAGTACACAGACTGGTATAGTCTCATTTTCTTTTTTCTTCTTCTCTGTCATACCTTTGTTTTTCAGTTTATGCTCTTTTCTGCATGTTTTGTTTTTCCGCATGTTTGGTTTTTCCCTAGGAAGAGAATTTTCCTGATTGCCCTTAGGGCATTTTCATAGGCATTTCAACTTCTCTGCATTAACCAGTGAAGTGCTGCAAGGCACAGCCAGTGCTTCCACACACGTTATCAGCAGCATAAAGACGCTCTCATAACTGAAGCAAAAAGCCAATGAACCTACATCCAAATTAAATTCCTGTGGGAATTCTGAGTATCAAGCACACAGTTACCCACCCTAAAGTTTGGCATCTGCATTACCACAATTCTCAAAAGAGTAAAAGTGATTCAAATTTGCTCAGAAGACATTGTGAGACATTATGACCCCCAAGACTGAGGTTGGGCACTAACTCAAAATAAACTCAGTGAGTAGGATCTGCCCTTTTGGCCTACAAAAGCACTTCAGCTACAATCACATCTCTGGTGCTGAGCAGGGTCAACCATTTGCAACTTGTTAAGACTGACAATTTTATAATACACAGCGGTGCGATTACAACCAAGGGAAAGGACGAGAACTTTTTGTGCTAGTGCTAGAGGGAAGTGCTAGAGGGAAGGAAAAAAAAGGGGGGCAATGGAAATAAGGTGGAGATATCCAAACTATTCTATTAGCTCCTATTCTGGCTATCAGGTAGGCAGGAACCTGGATCTCCTGAGGGTCTCCCCCTCCCAAGCTTCAAAGCTACTGCTTCCAGCCAGTATCAGCTAACACTGCTTTCATAGCAGGAATCAATACATCAGCTGAAAATGCCCAGCTGGATAAAAGAAAGTTTCAGTGTCATACACTGAAATTATATTAAAAGCGACAAGAAAAGCAGAGCATTAAAACTCCTGACACTATACAACAACTTCAGTACCAATAAACTGAAAGATGGTACAGTAAAACTAACTACTACTTTTCAATTTTTAATATTCAGCCACATTTGCAAACACTGCAATCAAATCCACACATGTGTGTGCTGCAGGGCGATAGAAGCAGGGGTCTTGTGTTCCTAGTGCTAAGCTACTCCAAGACACCTCATTGCAACCAAGTAATACTGCTGTCCCCGTAAATGACAGGAAAGGACTGGTTTCCAAACATCCATAAGCTCTGCTCTCCAGAGAGCTCTCTAGGGATTCTCAAATCTGGGCCACTAACCAAAAGCCTGACTTCCTAGAAGGCTGGGGAGCTGACTGCCCTCTTGTGCAGCTGCACGCTCTTATTAGAAAAGGAGGCCAAAAGTAGGCCCCTTGATAAATTTCACAGGTCTTGGATAAATCCACATTACTTTAATAGAAGCTTTTTAAAGTTTTTAACGGCTCCATTCTAAATCACTGATAAAAGCACCAGCCATAATGGTCGCCACAGCACAAATGTTGTCTGCAGAGGAAGAAAATGTGCTCTTATCATCATCTACAAGGTAATCTTTTAAATGATGAGTTCTCTGTTCAGAGTGGAAGCACAATTGCAGATAATCAACATTCCAAATCACAGCCTGTTTCTGTGCGACTCGGATCGCTCTGAGCGCTGCTAAATTTCTCCTTCCCCTGCTCTTGATTTCTTTTTGTGCTGCTTGCAGCACAATTTGAGGATGGACTGAAGAAGCGCTTGACCACAAATCTAGCCATGTATTTAGACCAGACTCAAGTTCTGGATGTAGGATGTGCATGAATGCGGAGGCAAAAAGCTGAGTCAAGAGCATTCAACACTTAGTCAGTGCACTTTGATATCCTGACATGATCCTTATCAACAAGGTGAAATCTTCACTATACACCTCGTAATGGTAGGGTATGAAAAGTTATATAATTTCTTAGTAACCTTACAGTTATCCCCTCACCTGACTTATTGAAGCTTAAAAGAAACAATGCTTCTGTAGCTTCGTACTTCCTCTGGACCAATTTTGGAACTAAATTTTCTTAAATGTATTATATAAAGATTTCATATATTTTAATTTAATTTTAATAGTTAACGCATAAATATAT